GATGAAGCTGTGCCGATAACCAGCATCATGAGTCTGCGCCAACGACGCACATGTTTAACGTAAACTAAGGCTTCCGACTTTGGGTCTTTGTCTTCAAAATAAAACAGAATTTTCTTCCTATGACAGAAACCCTATAAAATGTGTAAAAAAAACATCGGGGAATTTATAGAATTTTTTATGAGAAAGACGTTTGCTACAGAGAAATCCCCATTTTTAAGCTTGTTCTGACAATTTTTAGCTCTCGAAACGGTTTGACGATTAACGATGTTAGCTTTATTTTGAAAGTAGAGTATTCCCAAAGGAAGTCCATTCATTTAAGCGAGCTTGACTACTGATCGGACGTCAGACTCATACATATAGGCATATGTTTGCCGGTGCTGCACAATTCTAGTATCTGTATTTAGTTATTTGAACTAAACATATTTTGAATAAAGAAGATTTTGTTGGGGCTGTCATTTTCCGTCGCCGTGGTGGACATGAGACAGCTACCCTAATTACAAAGGTAATACAAGTGTCGTAAAAGTTAGCTTAAAGACGGCTAACAGCTAAAACAGTCTGTGATGATGTTACAGACATGATTATTTTGCTACGTTAAATCCTTGACAAATGTTATGGTACCTCGTAACACACCAAAACACACAGTCGATGCTCTTATTACAATGAAATCACATCTTTTAGATGTGGTTTTGTTGTCTACCTCAGATTTACCAACATTCACGAAGCTATGCTTCCTCTTTGTCCTGTTGTCACTCAAATATCTGGAAATTTCTTCTCTTGCTATAAATAAGTGGCCCATAAAGTGTGACTTTCGAAATGATCTTTCTTCTTATATCTAGATTCCCCTTTTATCTTTTGCATCTTGTTTTTTTTCGCAAGGGGATAAGCTGCCGGTTCCTGCCCTGGCTCGTACCTAGGGTCAGCATGGATGAAGAATCCCTTGAGGCAGCCATCGCTGCCTATAGTGCCCAGTTGCAGCAGGTGGAGACAGCCCTGTCTGCCGGCCTGGACCCCACCCAGCACTCAGACCTGCTCAAACTGAAAGAAGATCTCTGTCAGCTGATAGAGCTCACTGAGGCCAGCCTGGTGTCTGTCAGAAAAAGTCAGCTGCTTGCAAGCCTCGAGGAAAGTAGCGAACTGCAAGCGAATGCATTAGAAGCAGCTACTGATGCAAACGGTGGACTTGATGCTGAGTTTGCTGCTTTCTACTCTGAACTTGGGGAGTCTTCAGGTAATAGCTCAGATTCCAAAGAGAGAACTAAGGAGGGGGGAGGGGAGGAGGTGGATTATGAAGAGGAAGAAGAAGAAGAGGACAAGGAAGAAGAAGATGCACTAAGTGGTACCAAAGTAAGAGCGCCCTATCGGACAACATGGGGAACATTGGAGTATCACAATGCCATGGTAGTGGGGGCAGAACCGCCAGATGGAGATGAGGCACAAGTGCGAGTGCTCTACATCTACCCCACCCAGAAGTCTATGAAACCCTGCCCGTTCTACTTGGAGGATAAATGTCGCTTTCAGGATAACTGCAGGTAAATTATCACTTTCACTGAGGCGACCATAAATTACTGACAGCGTGATTTAAATTCGGGGCTTCTGTCAGTTCAGTCCCTTACAAGATTATTGTATCATCTACTTGGATCTCAGATCTGTACACACAGATCTGAGATCTTATATTTGGTGTTTTTTCACTATCAAAGGTTTTCTCACGGTGAGGTGGTCTATGTGTCGGAGCTCAGAGAGTTCCTAGACTCTGATCTCAGTAATCTGGAAGAAGGTTCATCTTGCTTGGCTCGTCATGAGGACGGTATCTGGCACCCAGGCAAAATAAAAGGTATTCTGTTCACAGAGTGGTCGTAATGTAAACACAAAAAAAGGATGAAGAGGTATAAAGAAATAACTCAAAGCCTTCCTCTCACTTTAGAAATTGACAGCGGTTTCTACACTGTGAAGTTCGACTCGCTGCTGCTGAAAGATGCCGTGGTCGAGGCCGATGGCGTTATCCCACCTTTAAGGGAAGATGACCCGCTGTCATCAGAGTCCGACTCGGATGACATCGGTGATGGAGATGATGCTATGGGATATGCAAAAGGTGTGTTTACATTTTGTAAGAAAAAACAAATCAGCCACAACATCAGAAAATATAATCTTTAAGTCTGCCTGTCAATAAAAAAGGCAATGGGGTTCAGAGGCACTCACTTAAAAAAAGAAAAAAAGAAAATGAAGAGGCTGCATGGTGTCGTGATTTCTCTTGGCAAGTGAACGATCACCTGCTCGATTCACCTTTGGGGTTTTGTCAGTAAAACTGTGGTAACTCTTTCTGACAAACAAACAGCTGAAAGTAGCTTATGTTAAAAAAAGTTTCATGTCAGGACATCATAGAGAACGATATTAGTAAAAATGTATCTGTCATAGCTACACATTGGGCCAGTTATTAATATGAAGAAGGGTTTTCTTGACTTGAAAAAAGAACTGACTGTGTCTTTTACTTGTTGTGCAACAGTTATAGACTCTGCTGTGGAACCCAATGAAACATCAAGCAGTGCTAATTTTGGTGGCTGGGAGGCGCATACCAGAGGCATTGGATCCAAGCTCATGCTCAAAATGGGCTACGAATATGGAAAAGGTGAGTGCAAACAGTGCACAACACAGCGCTGAGGCTCAGAAGTCACAATGTCCACTCCTGGCATGCTGTTTGAAAATCAGCTAACCTAACTCTTTGCATTCATTTTGTTTTATTTTTAATTCTTGAGTTTTAAAAATAGGACAAAACATACATTTAAGACACTTTTTAGAAACAAGAATAAGTAGCACCAAGATTAGGAGAGGTTGTGATGGTGTGTGGTTAGTGTAAGACAGTGGTGTTTGGGTGAAGCAGTTATTTTCTTTAACAAGACGCGAGAGGGCAGTAAGGTGCACATTAAAATCATATACAATGCATCACAGCTCAAAAGTGTGTCATCTAACAATAGACACACAAATGTCTATGCTTAAATTTGTGTTTGTCCAGTTTTATTTTCACATTGCTCTGTACATGATTGTATGTTTGTCACGTTAACGAAACAAGTTTTCATATTAACTTAAAGTGGTTTGTGGTATATTCAACCCAAACAAATGTCTGTCCAAAATAAAATCAAGTCAAGTCAGATGTTTTTGTATAGCACATTTAAAAGACATAGATCGGTCTTCAAGTTTGAGTTGAAGATTTCCAATCAGACCTACTTTGTTTTTTGGTTTGTGTGGGAGGGGTGGGTTGTTTATTAGGAAAAAGCTTAGATATTACAAACAGCCTCTTCCATGATTTTCTTCCTACTTTTGTCATACAAAAGAGGGAGAGCAAGTACCAAAAGTAGAGATAACTAATTCAATAACATTGATTAATTATCATTAAAGGAATGAAAGACAAAAAACAAAAAATGTTCCCAGTATCTTTTGGTTCTTCCAGTCTAATATTCAGTTGTTGAAAGGAGGAGAAATAACCTATATAAAATTATAAATAAAATTATTTATAATGGTAGTGTGTGTGTGTTTGTGTACACATCCATCCATCTATCTATCTATCTATCTATCTATCTATCTATCTATCTATCTATCTATCTATCTATCTATCTATCTATCTATCTATCTATCTATCTATCTATCTATCTATCTATCTATCTATCTATCTATCTATCTATCTATCTATCTATCTATCTATCTATCTATCTTTCTTTCTTTCTTTCTTTCTTCTGGTTTTCACTGTCACACTCTATCATTTTTTGTGTGTAGGTCTGAGATTGAGAATTACAGTCAAACTACTAAACTAACATTAAGTTAGATATTGGCTAACTGGTGTCTTAGTTAACATATTTAGAATTAATACAAATGCATTTTCACTGCACAGTGAATCCTAATAAAAATCTATGTATACAGATGTAAGAAGCACATTACACTGTGTTCTTCTTCACTCACTGTCTTTTATGTTTTCAGGCTTGGGAAAGCTCCAGGAGGGCAGAGTGGAGCCAGTAATGGCGGTGGTACTGCCCAAAGGAAAGTCTTTGGATCAGTGTGCTGAGTTCACCCAGAGACGCACCCAGAGCAAGGCTGCAAAGGACGGCGCACAAACAGGCCGCCCAAAGCGGCGCAGAAAGCCTCGGGTCGCTACCAGAGGGGGCCAGACCGTTTTTGACTTTCTCAACCACAAGCTTGGAGGCAAGACCGCTCATCCTCCCGAGGGGGGTGCTGTTGCGCCATCAGCGGCAACCGGGGTGGAGGCTTACCGGGGAGGAAAAAGCACCAAGAGGAGTCTGAACGTGAGGCTGTTCCAGGCTGCCGAGAGGGTGTCCCAGACCGAGAGGGAGATCCAGAAGCTGAGCGAGTCACTCAGCAGACAGGCAGGCAGGTCAGTACTGGGGTCAGTGCACAGTCTTCATTAGCTGTACTGCAACCTTAGCCAATTGTTTCCCCACAGAGCCTCAGCAGCTGCTGTCACATTAGAAACCATTGCATATATCGCTCTGCTTACACAATACAACAGTCTATTGTGAGATATGAAGCATGTGGAACTTGAGTTGCTATAATGTTCCTGACAGTTAAAGTGATAATTAATGTGAGTTTACAAAGAAGGACTGTGGGAGTTGCGCGAAAATGTAAATAAGGTGTGAAGTTGCGAGGTTAGACACATGGTTCTGTGGCCAACGCAGCTAAATTCAGTTTGACTCATCATCTCATCTCAATTCCTAATCTGTCTGGGTTTTTTTTCATTTATTTTTATGTGTGCAAAGGGACCCATCCATAGTGAAGCAGTTGGAGGAGAAACTGTCAGCGGCCCGCCGGCTGTTGGTCCAGCACAAAGCCCAGGAGCTGTCCATCCAGAGAGAGCACAAGAAGGCCGACACACACAAGAAGATGACTGAGTTCTGAGCTCAGTTGTCTCTCAAAGACATGGAGGATAAAGGAAAGCACTGCGAGCCTGAAATGAACTTTTGCTCCCGCCCTTATGTCAGGTTTTTTTTTTTTTTTTTTTGCTACACTGCATTTGAAGACTTGTTTTTTTCCAGTCGTTTCTCACCGCCGTCTCTTGATGCAGAGTGAATCCGCTGCTCTTCATTTATTTTTAAGCGCTGGCGCATTATCCGCTCAGCATTGATGTTTTTTTGATTTCCAGCTGCACAGGTCTCAATAATGTTCAAAAATATTTTTCATTTTTAATGAACTTCTGTTTTCCTAGCTGTATTTTTCTTCACCCGAACTGAAAAAAAGAAAAATATATAGCTTGTTTGGAGAACCTATTGTGTGCCTTCCTTTGTTCTTAACCGCGCACACCTGAGCTCCACTTTAAACTGAATGGACTGTGTAACAGAATTTATAATGTGCTCCCATTGTTAGGCTTCTCTGGCAGAGGTTTCGATCGCTCTGGCCGAGCACCGCTCCAGTGGTTGGTGCCGTATACTTGAACTTTCATACTTTTAAAATTACATCCTCAGGAGTTGGAAGACCTTTGCAGAGTTTTGAAGTTACGCCCACGCTTCTTACGGCTCGTACACACCATCTTTGAAGTTGCAACCGTAACCTTTCTGTTAAATAATGAATTTGGAGAGCAGCCTGCCTGCTCATAAAGTCTGACACACATTGTCTGTGGGGTTGGGTGGTGGCTACGTGAAGTAAAAGGTTGCAGTCGTGGTGCTGGGCAACCGTAGATCAGGCCTTCGTCCTTTTATAAGCAACTTCAAAACTGATGTGGCGAGGCATAATAACGCTATTACTTCAATTTATAAACACCTCCATTTAGAATCTCAAATGAGTCCAGTGAGGTTTAGTGTGAGTTGGAGACCATGACAGACAACTAGAGGAACTGGTGAGCAATCATATCGTGTCTGAAGGAAGACAGATTGTACAATCACGCTAAAGCAGTAACAGCTGCAGTGAGATACAGTGTAAGCCTGTGCACGGGGGTCTACTGGAGAAGGCGGGAAAGCCACAGAGGCAGAACTCCTAAACCACCTTCTCTCCGTACCCTGAGGGAAGCCCCCGCTTGCACCTCGGTCTGTTGAGTGACAGCACTTTGACTGCTGATGACTGCAGGGGTGACGCTGAATTCGCTGATCATGGGCTAAATGCACTATGTGTGTTGATTTAATAGGATCCCTTGAGGGTCTGTGCTTCACGCTTTACCCCATTTATGAGGGTCCAGTCAGTGCCCAGCTAGAGGCAGATTCACTGCGTGTCCTACTGTGGTCGTAGTGTCTGCATGGTTGGGTGTATGAGTGCACCACACACTCCCACAGACACTCGTGCCATAAGAATTTGCTGGGGCAGTTTTTAACTGCGCTTCTCGGTGCCTCACAATTATGTGAGGTGAAATTACTTCTATTACTGTATGTTACTTGTGTTCATATTATATAGGTAACACATTACTCTGTTAATTTTTACTTGCTTTTAACTTTTTAAAAGAGTGTTACTCTGAACATGTAGATCAGCTGAGCTTTCTAATGTTTTTGTTTAATACTCCTGAGAAAAGTGTGTGTTTTTATGCCCTATTCATTAGGTTTCACAATCACTGTCACAAATATTGTAAATATTTTCTTATGTACAGTCATATACAGGGTAGGAAATAAAGACATATGGTGCAGGTGGATGTCATTCTAGCACAGACAGGTTTATTGGCACACATCTTACAGATTAAAAAAAAAACAGCCCAACGTTATAAAAGTATAAGGTTATTATCAGATATCTGGTTCAGTCTCTTACAGTGAACCTCACGCATGAATACAAATGTCTCACTTTCTTTGTGATGAATATTGCTGAAAACTGTGAACTGATTCAGTTATCTAGCAAACTATTTTGTGTCTGAACTCACAGAATAGATTATTAAAGTCATGCTAACTGTCTCAGTGTTCCAGTTTTTACACTTAGTGGTGTTCCTGAGCTAATAGGCTTTGAAAAGGTGCAAGTAAAATCCTGCCAAGGGCTAGAGACCCCTGCACCTGCTCTGGCTGATCTTAAAGCCCCAGAGCTGGCCTCCAACCTGTAATCTCACCTCCAGCTGACCCTCCAGCTTGAGGCTGATTTATTTCATTAACACGGAGGAAATGAAATAGGACTTCCAGTATTAAGTAAACAGTCAAAACTGCTTTGATATAAAAGCCAATGTCTGACCGCAGTGTTTATGGTAATCTGTCTGACTTTATCTTTGTAAGTTTTACGTCTAAACATGACCATGAAACCTGCATTGTATTCATTCAGGTTACTTTAAAGGTAGAGCTCTTCCTGCTCGGGTTTACAGTAATTATAGAAATGCTTTAATGGCTGAGTTTGCCAGTGATGTTCTGACTGCTTCCCTAACAGGCGCAGGCTGTTCTTTGGCCAGTTGGCATTGAATCTTGGATGCAGATGCTGTTCCCTTGTGAAGATTTTGGCTCAATATACTAGTTTTTGAATCGTGAGTTTTACTTGAGATGAAAGTGACTTTGTGAAAATCTCTCTAGGATGCTTTTAATGCTCCCAGAGAAGCACGAGTGACTCCCAAAGCACTTAATGCATACTGTTTAAATACAAAATATTCTCATCTGACACAAATACACTGTAATCATGAAAACATGACTCTTCACATATGCAGCACTCTGTTCTATACATTGAAGGCCTTGCTATCTACCTTGTATGCACACTTATTACCAATTAACAGTTAACAAGTTTTCTTTTTACAATTTTGCATGATGCATGAAATTGACATGTTTTTCCATCAGTTTACACTTAATAACACATCAATGACTCACTCGAAGGTATTTTGAATATTGTCTCAGAACTGAGTCTTCTTGCTAAATCAATTTTAGCTTTGGATGGGATGTGAGGACTCTGTCCCATTCTCCTGAAACATCCATTTAAACTCTGTCAGTCTGGATGGGAACCATCCTTGAGCTGCCATCTGCAGGTGGCATACTGACGTTAAGTCTGGTCTTTGGTGGGGCCACTCAAGTGGCAGCATTGTGCTGAAACCACACTTGGACTTCATTTCAGTGTCATGTTGAAAGGTGAACCTTCATCCCAGTTTCAGGTTGCTGGACTCTGGAGACTCTGTTCTTCTAGGACTGTTCTGGATTTTAATGCATTCACACCACCTTCAGTCCTGACCCGTCTCTTTGTCCCTGTCACTGAGAAGCACCTTTGTGTTCACTACAAGGATAGTATTTCACTGTGGGGCTGAATGAGGTGATTGAAGGAGCCTGCTGTTTACCAGACATAAAACTTCTGGAGTTCTGCTCAGAGAGTTCAATTTTGGTTTCAGATCAGAAAATATATTTCCTGGTAAAAGCAAAGCTGACTGACATTATTAATTTTTACATATATTTGCTAGAAAAAATGGGGCACAGCAAAATACTAAAACATGCAAACACAAATGGAACTACAATATACAAGGCAAAAACAGAGTTTGTACAATTTTAATAAGCTTGAAGGACAATATTTGGTATGACCACCTTTACTGTCCGACACAGTCTGAATTCTTAGGTAAACTTTTTGTAATGTCTTTTAGCGGTCTTCTGGAAAAGAGCCTTGAATGCCCTCCAGGTATCTTGAAGGAAATTCAAGGCTTTTCTTTGGATGTCTCTGTGTAGATGATCCCACACTGCTTTAGTAATGTCAAGGTGTGATCTCTGGGGAGGCCAAATCTATTGCTGATATTATTCCACTGTATGTTTTTCAGTCCAGGCATGCTTTTAATACACTACTAGTGTGTTTGGGATGATTGTAATGCTGAAAAATGAAACCAATCAGATGATTTCCATGATTTTTGCATGTTTTCTTCATTCTAAATTCCAATTCAATTTTGACCAAATCCAACTCCACTGGCTGAAATGTAGCTCCTGACCATGACAGAGCGTCCACCATACAATGCAAATGAGTGTAGATACTCACTGTTGTGCGTCTCTCCTAACATCCTGCATATTGACAGCAATTTGAAGCAGAAAAATTCTATTTTGGATTTAGCCCACTAGATTCCCTTGCGCTGTCATTGATTTTCAGTTCAGTTCTTGTGTAATGTGGCATAGCTCAGCCTTTTCTCCCTGTTTCCCTTGCTTAAGAATGGCTTCTTGACAGCCACTCTTCCGCTGAGACCATTTCTGCTGAGGCTTCAGCGTACAGTCAACCGTCCAGATGCATCTCTCGGTTCCTGTGTCTAGTCTTTGCTGGATTTTACCTAGGACTTTCATCGATAGCTTTTAGGCCTCACAGTTCTTCTCTTTTCCTTTGCTTGTCCAATTTTCACAGACTTTTTAAGGACAGTCCCCACACCATGCCATACCCATTATATATAGATTAGTATTAATAAGGAAGCAGCTATCATTAAGTTCATCTTCTTTGCAGGAAATAACCAAAATTTTGAAATCAAAATGTCTACATTAATTATCCGAGCAGGGGCATATGTATCTCAGAAGACAATCACTTAATTGAAATTAGCACTGAAGGTCAATTTTTCATAAAGGTAAATTCAATAGCATGACATTTAGCTGTAATTAATAACACTGTGTACTTACATGGCATTTGGCATTGCTTCCTTGAGGAAGCCAACACAAAGGACCTTTATGGAATTTTGCCATTTGCTTTTCTACAAGTATTTAATGCTGAAATTATGCATGAGATCTGTGCTGAAAAGGCATGGCTTATCATTTAATGAAAATTAGTTTGTGGTTTCATAAAGACCACGCTCATTTCATATTAGAATTATAATAACACTATGCTGTGGTATTGTGTATCCTTGGAAAACTGGTGGGATAAATGGAAATTAATATCCGTTCTTATATATAAATCTTTGAATGCAGACAAAAGATTTAAACTCATGTTTGTCATATGCTACATTTTTGATATTGCAACAAAGCCAGAGCACTCATTTGTATTTCAGGCTATCGCCACCTTTTTTTCTCCAGCGTTTGTCCTGAAACGTACGAATAAACAGGGAGCACGGCAGCTATTTCACCTTGTTCAAAGTGCAGTGTTTCCATATTGTGCTAAATTGCTGTTTTCTCTT